GGGCATCAAGGCAAACTCATTGGGCATCAAGGCAAACTCATTGGGCACCAAGGCAAACTCATTGGGCACCAAGGCAAACTCATTGGGCACCAAGGCAATCTCATTGGGCACCAAGGCAATCTCATTGGGCACCAAGGCAAACTCATTGGGCACCAAGGCAATCTCATTGGGCACCAAGGCAAACTCATTGGGCACCAAGGCAAACTCATTTGGCATCAACGCAAACTCATTTGGCATCAAGGTAGACAAACTTATTTGGCATCAAGGCAAACACATTGGGCACCATGGCAAACTCATTGGGCATCAAGGCAAACTCATTTGGCATGAAGGCAAACTCATTTGGCATGAAGGCAAACTCATTTGGCATGAAGGCAAACTCATTTGGCATCAAGGCAAACTCATTTGGCATCAAGGCAAACTCATTTGGCATCAAGGCAAACTCATATGGGCACCAAGGCAAACTCATATGGGCACCAAGGCAAACTCATATGGGCACCAAGGCAAACTCATTGGGAATCAAGGCAAACTCATTTGGCATCAAGGAAAACTCATTTGGCATCAAGGAAAACTTATTTGGCATCAATGCAAACTCATTGGGCACCAAGGCAAACTCATTTGGCATCAAGGCAAACTCATTTGGCATCAAGGCAAACTCATTTGGCATCAAGGCAAACTCATTGGGCACCATGACAAACACATTGGGCACCATGGAATACTCATTGGGCACCAAGGAAAACTCACTGGGCACCAAGGCGAACTCATTGAGCATCAAGGCAAACTCATTGGGCATCAAGACAAACTCATTTGGCATGAAGGAAAACTCATTTGGCATCAAGGAAAACTCATTTGGCATCAAGGCAAACACATTGGGCACCATGGCAAACTCATTGGGCATCAAGGCAAACTCATTTGGCATCAAGGCAAACTCATTTGGCATCAAGGCAAACTCATTGGGCATGAAGGCAAACTCATTTGGCATGAAGGCAAACTCATTTGGCATGAAGGCAAACTCATTTGGCTTGAAGGCAAACTCATTTGGCATGAAGGCAAACTCATTTGGCATCAAGGCAAACTCATTTGGCATCAAGGCAAACTCATATGGGCACCAAGGCAAACTCATATGGGCACCAAGGCAAACTCATATGGGCACCAAGGCAAACTCATATGGGCACCAAGGCAAACTCATATGGGCACCATGGCAAACTCATTGGGCACCATGGCAAACTCATTTGGAAACCAAGGAAAACTCATTTGGCATCAAGGCAAACTCATTGGGCACAAGGCAAACTCATTTGGCATCAAGCCAAACTTATTGGGCACCATGACAAACTCATTGGGCACCATGACAAACTCATTGGGCACCATGACAAACTCATTGGGCACCATGACAAACTCATTGGGCACCATGACAAACACATTGGGCACCATGGCAAACACATTGGGCACCATGGCAAACTCATTTGGTATCAAGGCAAACTCATTGGGCACCAAGGCAAACTCATTGGGCACCAAGGCAAACTCATTTGGCATCAAGGCAAACTCATATGGGCACCAAGGCAAACTCATATGGGCACCAAGGCAAACTCATATGGGCACCAAGGCAAACTCATATGGGCACCATGGCAAACTCATTGGGCACCATGGCAAACTCATTTGGAACCAAGGAAAACTCATTTGGCATCAAGGCAAACTCATTGGGCACCAAGGCAAACTCATTTGGCATCAAGCCAAACTTATTGGGCACCATGACAAACTTATTGGGCACCATGACAAACTCATTGGGCACCATGACAAACTCATTGGGCACCATGGCAAACACATTGGGCACCATGGCAAACTCATTGGGCACCATGGCAAACTCATTTGGCATCAATGCAAACTCATTGGGCACCAAGGCAAACTCATTGGGCACCAAGGCAAACTCATTGGGCACCAAGGCAAACTCATTTGGCATCAAGGCAAACTCATTCTCATTTGGCATCAAGGCAAACTCATTGGGCACCAAGGCAAACTCATTTGGCATCAAGGC